CATCAGCGAACATATACTTTTTGATTCACTATTCCACTACAATCAGACAACTGATCAATCAGACACTGGAAAAGATAATTGCATTAAGAAAGATATATTATATATTAAAGAATCAATTCATTAAATCACTTATCAAATAAAAAATTGAGGTGGAATCCATGATTCTGGTTAGGCGGCAAGCAAAGTAAGGTTGCAGCAGGGCCACTCGAGGGCAAAAGCAAAGCGAGACGGCATGTGTGGCGTGACTCGATGACAAAAGCAAAGCGAGAAGAGAAGATCACCGCCTAAAGGACATAATAGAGAAGGGAGACGATAAATGTGATTAGAATTTGAGTTAAACAATGGGATTTGAGAAGAGAGATAAGGACATCATTCAAATTTGAGGCATGACTTTAGGAAATTATCTTCAATCATGTTATCACTTTAATGAGGATTATCAAATGATTCAATGAGAGAGATACGTGAAAAAAGACAAGACCCATTTCAAAATGGTTTTTTGAACAATCTGATTATCTAATCCAATGAAGTTATATCCATAATATGTGGCAAAACCATCCCCCTCTTGAATGGTTCTATGTAATTAAACATTAATCACATACAGAGATTTACTGGTTTGTTATCTCTTTGGTCTCCGCGCGCTGACAAAATATTTTGATAGTTCCATGTTTAAAAATTTTTTGTGCAGCAGTAGTAACAATGAAGACCCACCAACGGAGAAATATATCGGGAGCAAAGTCACCGGGGAGGAAACCTGAATCCAGGCAGGATTGATTCCGCCAGTCAAAAGAGGATTCATCACGTCAGCTCAAATTTTTGGAGGGACCATCACCGGAGAGTTACCCGAAGGGAGAACACTCAATCATGGGATTTAAGGTCAGTCAAAAGCTGAAGATAAAAATCAAAACCCCGCCGTGTAACACACAATCAGATCATAAGGCACAGTCAACGACAACATGAACTGAGGAAGAAGCACGATCAATAAACTGAAAATGAGCGCCAGAAGATATGACATATAGAGAAGGGAAAATTTATAGCCAAGGACTTTGATAACGGATTTCAGAACCGGCATCATAAATAAACAAATGCCAGAAAGGCCGCCGGTACATGCTAATTAATGGCCGGAATAGTAATGTTCATCATAAGGGGGTAAAAAGAAGGAGAATTCGACATTATTTTTATAAAATATAAATTTTACAAAGCATGATAATTGGTAAATTAGTAAATATTTATAAGATAAAGAGAGATTTTTTTTTTTATTTTTATCGTATAGGTAAATAGTAAAATACATTAATTAACCATTTTATATGTTAATTTTAACTGCAGAAGTTCCTAGTATCTCTCTTCGATCTTTCCTTTAATATATATAATAAATATAGGATTGTCAAAATCTTGCAGATGTTGAAAATCCAATGTGTGATGAATTTTAATTTTTAAGGCCAATGCTGTCCATCTTAGTTTGCCCTATTAAAATATTAAGTCTCAAAATCAATGGTTTCTTTTGTCTTGTAAATATTCTCGATATTGTTTAGTGATTCAAATGAATCAATATTGGGTGCTAGAACTACTTCAAAGATGCTAATAACACATCAATTTTATGATCTGAGCTCAAAAAATGAGGAATTTGTTTCCGTGAGCTTGAGTAACGCCATTATCTGAATTATTTATATTGCAGCTGAGTGTATATAAACTTACTTTTCTGTTCGCACAATTCTACTGCTCCAAAGCACCACGAAATCTGGAATACCAAATTGTCACGAATCTAATGCTAACAGCCTAACATTTCCGTTTTCACAAATTTACCTGTCAATTGATGATCAAATCTCAAGTTAGTGACAACCAAGTTCCAATTTTTGTTTTCTATTCAAAGAGGATCCCAAAAGGCTGGTGATCCTGCCAGTACAACTTTAAGCATCTAGTGCAATTTTTTTTCTTATTTTTCAAAATTACCCTTGAAGAATTCAAAGACCTTTTATGTTCCCGTCCATATCTTGCTCATCCAATTCATTAATCTTATTGGATATTTTTTTCCCCTATCCCCCCGACATCGGTGCTAAAAAGTTTCTAAGGTTTGTAAGAGTAGTGTTAATCATCCTGCTATCTGGTCTTCATTAGATCGCATAATAGCATCTCCACGTCGGTGCTTGGAGTGTACAATTTTGGGCGGAAAGGGGGTGGATGGAGATGGGAGAAGATGTAGAGTTGATCGGTCTTCTCTTTTAGTTGATAGTTGATTGATGGTGTCCTAGCTCCTTCTCCTTATGGTTTGGTGAAGGTCTTTTGAATGGTGCAATCTCGCTTTTTAGAGTATTCATCCAATCCACTTATGGTACTTTTGTCAAAGTATATGAGTACCTTGGCCTCCCATCTCAAAACCAATTGGCAACGAGTAAGGTGGCCTTTGGAACTTATATACTGACTCACTTCTCTTCACGGTGACGATGTGGAATAGATAATACACCTCATGTCAGGACCGCAGCACCGGCGACACTGATGGAGGAGGGAAATCCGATAAATCGGAGAAGATAGAGGCGATTAGGGTTTCATAAGCCTGATTTGGGAATTACTCCACAAAATCTGGGAAATACAATTTCAATATCAATCTTTTGTTAAATGTTTTTACAACCCCGGTCTATTATTTATAGTCCCGGAAATTACAGAATTTACACCAATCCCCTATATTAAAGAACTAGGACAATCCAGTCCAGTTCGTGACACCTTAACACCCTCCCTCAAATCCAATGGATCTTTGAAATTTTTGCCCAATCGACTTGGATCGGGACAAGAACAGAATAGCACACGAGTCAACGCTCAAGTGGGAGAAAACTAGTTATACTTTTGCTGGATTGGTCCACAACAAGCACACGAGTCAATGCTCTAGTGGGAGAAAACCAGTTATGCCGCTGGATCGGTTCCAAACAAGCACACGAATCAACGCTAAAGTGGGTCAATATAAAATCACCACAGGCCACCTCCGGCCCAAAACATCACCACAGGCCCAGTCTGCTCTGATACCATATCAAAGTATATAAGTACCTTGGCCTCTCATCTTAAAACCAATTGGCAATGAGTGGAGTGGTCTTTGGAACTTATATACTGAGTTACTTCTCTTCACGGTAGCAATTTGGGACACATAATACACCTTAACAACTTTCTGGTCAGTAGTCACGACTCACGAATGAGTGTGAATATATATAGTGCAGAGAAGAGCAAAAGGAGTTTAAAAGGCATCCATATTCAATGATAGCTGGACGAAACTTTGTATTGCATCACCATATTATAATTTCAGCATGTATGCAACAAGCAGATGTTGTATGTTGAAAGAATTTAGATAATTTGATTCTTGACAATGCCGAACTTCGGTTTTGTTTGCTAAAAGAATTTAGATATTTACTATCTGTGCTTGTAATTAAATCTCAAACAATTATCTTTGTTTCAATGTTTAAACTTCAAATTATACATATTGAGGAATGAAGGGTGGCGTTCACCCAAAAAAAAAAAAAAGTTCACCAAAAAGAGTATGAAGGGTCGCTAGAAAAACAATTGACCAGTACAGAACAAATAATCCTCAAATGGAAAATTTCCTCCAATTCAATTGATATGGTTTATCACGTTTGAGGAAAATTGAAAGAGACTAGGGAGAAAGAGATACTGAGCTAGAGATTAGGGAAGAGATTATAAACCATTCACTTCCAAAAAAAAAAAAAAACAGTAATAATAAGCCGTTTGACTTTATAGGGGGTAATTTTGAGAAACAAAGAAAACATTGCACTGGATACTAAAAATTATTTTGGCAAAATCACTTGCCATTCCAAAATTGTGTGATGAATTGAGATGAAACCGAGATACATATACTTCCTCTGATTTTCATTATAAGGTCTTTTAATTTGTTTTAAATTTTATTTATTATGTTCTTTTATTTGAAAATAAACTTTAAAAATATTTTATAATAATTAAAAGAACAAAATAAATGTAACAATATATTTTTAAGGTTTTATTTTCATTTAAAAAAATATGTTAAATAAAATTTATGATAAATCAAAATGTTTAAGTACTGAGAGAATACTAATTCTTCATGATTTTTTCCCCTCATAATTTCAACCAAAATCCTTTTCGTTTCCGATTTTCATTTTTGAGGTTTTAAGGGTTTCAATAGAATAAAAAAAAATCACTTTTAAGATTGACAAAATTTTAAAAGTGACTCTTTAAAAGACCCACGAGGTTCAATTGATTATTTAATACACCTGTAAGTAAAATATCCAAAGCATCAGTGACACGTAAGTAAAATATTAAAAGGATCTTTCGACGACAAAAAATTGATATATACATATGAAGTCAGTTAAAAAGTACCAAGAATACAATTATGCTTTCAAAAAATCCTCTATGAATGTTTTTAAAACTCTAATTAAATCTAACATCTACTTCTAAATCTAAAATGTGTTTTTTAAATCTCGAAAGCAGCCACTCATCCCCCAATTAATTGAAATCTCAGAAGGCCATAATTAACTCATCGCCCAATTCAATTTTATTAGAGTTTGAAAAAAACAAAAATCACGAAGGGTTATAGGGTGTACAAACATTTTTGGGTATTTTTTTTCACTTAATTCATATGCACATACTTATCAAATTTTAGTCACTGAAAGGTCATCATAATTCGCTTGGTATTCAAAGGACTTTTTTTTAATTTTTTTTCAAAAAACAATAAGGGTATTCTAGAAAATCAAGTAAACATCAGGGCTGTTTTTTGATAGTATAAATCCTTAATCCTTTTGGCATTCCTAGAAAACCCGTCTATAAATATTGCCTCCGCTGTAAGCTTCGACTACATCGTTCCGAGGTTTTCCCCTTTCTTGTGTTACTTCCCTCTGTTTCACAAACTAGCACCGACTCTCTTCCAACACTGCGAAACAATTCGGATTCAAAATCGTCCTAATCCAAAGCTTTAATCTTCTCCCAAACTCCGATTAAGTTTCATCCAAACCATTTTACTCGATTTTTTTGCTATGGGGAATGGTGATAAACGTCGTCCTGCCAAAAGGGTCAAGTTTTCCAAACCGGAGGAAGAACAGAGGTTGGATGCGATTGATGATTATAGCTGGTATAACGACGAAAGTGATGAGGATGATTATGATTATCGGGATGCCGACGGGAAGAATGGGGATTTCACCCAACTGGGATTGAAGCCCGACCACGAGAATCGGCCGTTGTGGGCCTGCGACGATGGTCGGATTTTCCTGGAAACTTCGTCCCCACTTTACAAACAGGCCTATGATTTTCTGATTGCAATTGCGGAACCCGTTTGCCGGCCGGAGTCAATGCACGAGTACAATTTGACTCCCCACTCGTTGTATGCCGCCGTTTCAATTGGGCTCGGCTCGAAACCAAAACGATTATCTCGGTTCTGAGTAAGTTGTCGAAAACCGAACTCTCCCAACAGATCATTGATTTCATTCATCAATCAACGGCTAATTATGGTAAAGTGAAGCTTGTCCTGAAGAAGAATCGGTATCTAGTTGAGTCCCCATTTCCAGAGGTGCTTCAGAAATTGCTCCAGAATGAAACCATTCGGGCAGCCAGGATTGCGTCAGATAAGGGATTTACTGTGGGTAAAGCTCTGGGTGAAATAGAAGGAAATCATAATGATGGGTTGCTGAATGAAGCTGAGATAGCTACTGTAACAGAGGAAAAGGAAACATATTCATTTGAAATTGATGCCAAACAGGTTGAAATGGTCAAGCAGGCTTGTTTGCCTAATGCTTTGAATTATCCCATGTTGGAGGAATATGATTTCAGGAATGATTTTACCAATCCTGATCTAGATATTGAGTTGAAGCCTCAAGTCCAGCCGAGACCTTATCAGGAAAAGAGTCTTAGCAAAATGTTTGGCAATGGCAGAGCAAGATCAGGTATCATTGTGCTGCCTTGTGGTGCCGGAAAGTCTTTGGTGGGTGTTTCTGCCGCTAGTAGGATTAAAAAAAGTGTCCTCTGTTTGGCAACAAATGCTGTCTCTGTTGATCAGTGGGCTTATCAATTCAAGTTGTGGTCTACTATTCGCGAAGATCAAATATTTTGTTTTACGTCTGAAAACAAAGAAGCGTTTCGAGGTGACAAACCTGTTGTAGTTGTAGCCACATACAACATGATTGCTTTTTCCGGTAAACGTTCTGAAGAAGCTGATAAGATAATGCAACAAATCACAAAGAAAGAGTGGGGATTGCTTCTAATGGACGAGGTTCATGTTGTCCCAGCTCAAATGTTTCGAAAAGTTATCAGCCTTACTAAATCTCATTGTAAATTGGGACTTACAGCTACACTTGTGAGAGAGGATGAGAAGATTACAGACTTGAATTTTCTCATCGGCCCCAAATTGTACGAGGCAAATTGGATGGATTTAGCAAAAGGTGGGTTCATAGCAAATGTTCAGTGTGCTGAAGTGTGGTGTCCAATGACAAGGGAGTTTTTGGTGAATACTTGAAGCTGGATGATTCCAAGAAGAAGAAAGGACTCTACGTGATGAACCCGAATAAGTTCAGGGCTTGCGAGTTTCTGATCCGGTTTCATGAGGAGCAGCGTGGTGATAAAATAATCGTGTTTTCTGACAATATTTTTGCTCTTGAAAAGTATGCATTGAAACTTAACAAACCTATGATTCATGGTAAAACCGGCCATGCTGAGAGGACAAAGATTCTTGAGGCATTCAAAACTGGCAAGGAAGTTAACACCATCTTCCTGTCAAAGGTTGGTGATAACTCAATTGACATACCAGAGGCGAATGTGATAATCCAGATCTCATCACACGGTGCTTCAAGGCGTCAAGAAGCTCAGCGACTCGGGCGTATTCTCAGGGCTAAAGGGAAGCTCCAGGACCGAATGGCTGGGGGTAAAGAAGAGTATAATGCATTTTATTACTCACTTGTCTCCGCAGATACACAGGAAATGTTTTACTCAAGAAAAAGGCAACAATTCTTGATTGACCAAGGTTATAGCTTCAAAGTTATCACGAGCTTGCCTCCTGATTCTGGGCCTCTGAATTTGAGTTATGATCATAAACAAGACCAGCTCATGCTTCTTAGAGAGGTATTGAATGTTGGTGAAGATGCTGCTCCTCTGGAAAAAATGGAAGAGGATAAAAGATGGCAAGGCACTTAAAAAAGGCAGTATATCTGTTAAAGCCATGAGCGCAATGTCAGGAGCAGATGGGAGGGCTTACATGGAATACAATACTACTACTGGACAGAAAAGACCAGCCCATGATGGCCAGATGAAGAGCAAGCCACCTTCAAATAAGAAGAGGCACAAACTGTTCAGTAACCGCCACAAGTAAGCAGAAGACCACCAAACAGCCTGGCTTGTGGAAATGGAATGTTTTCTAATGTTGTTATTAGTAGTTTTTTTCCATCTGTCCCCTAAAAGTCCTTATTTAGTTTTGAATGTGGACTATTTTTCTGGGGCGAAGGGAGTATTTGAGAAATTTATAACTGGTACCGGCTTGGGAAGACAGATACAAGCATTCTAGTCCTTGAAGAAAATGTCTATAAAATAGTGTACTTTTTATGCTCAAATTTATGAAATCGATCATTTTAAACTTCATACTTTTGGTTCTATTCTTATCTTTCGAATGTATGTGGTTACTTTGTCTTCTCTCAGAGAAAGGTGGTGTTTCTCATCCAATGTTGTTTCCAAATATCGGTTTTGCTGTATGAATATAATCAATGTGGTCCGCATTTAGACTACTTCTACTACAAATTTTAAAACCTCAATGTATCATGATTGAGTTTTGAAATTTGAAACTACTTTTAGTATTAATTTTAAAACTCAAGGTGAATTATTTTTTTAGGACGTAGGGAGTAGTTTTTACTTGGGTTACATGTTAAAGCTAGGTATATATAGTAGCACTTAGTACTAAGTTTTGTCTATTAAATTCCTTATCAGTTCGTCACGGGGACCTATCGTACTGTTGCCACTATTATGGAAGGAAAGCCTGAGGCAAGAAGGTTGATGAAGTTGGACTTATTGCCGGGTTGGTATACATAATATTGGTTCCTCCCTCTTGTTGTAATTATTATCTCTAGTAGAAAAGTCCGATGGAAATCATGCATATGTCAATTAATCGGTAGCTCTACGGAAACCTGGGGAAATACTAATTCTTCATCAATGCCAGAAGAACCTAGACAATGAACAAAGCAAAACTTGTGCTTAATGAAAACCGAAAACACGGCTGAACCTGATCTTGGAGCTGGCAGAAATCGGAAGAGCCAAGAACAGGGGCGGTTTAGGGTGGGGGCTGTCACAGGGTCGTCCCCTCGACTGAGAAAACCCGGTGGCCCAACGCTGGCCGTCCCAGAGCAAGCACACAGTACGACCCGACAAACGGGTTCCCGAGACAAGCAACCAGCTTAACCCTAGAAATCACAAAACCTGGGCAAGCCTACGCAGCGGAATACACAAAACACGGCTAACACTCTAGCCCGCTTAGAAACAGCTTTCAACACTTAGCCAAAATCCAAGTACACAAAGAACGAGTTTGAGAGATTGAACACGCAACACAAGAAACCTACCAAATGCGTGAAACAGGCTACCAAAGCCCCGGGCCAAACTAGACCCCGTCTCTTATATTAAACCTACCGTCTCAACGACTCTATGTGGCATGGACAAACTGAACTGGTTATCCATGTTTTTGTGTTTTTTTTGTTACTGATTATCCACTATATCTGAACTGGTTATCCATGTTTTCCTGCGTGTGTGCTATGGGGTGCTTGTCCAAACTTTGTTTGTGGTTATCCACCCATTTTATACTGGTTATCCGCAGAGTGTAAACTGGTTATCCACCTATTTCATACTGGTTATCCACAAATTGTAAACTGGTTATCCAGAAGGTGTAAACTGGTTATCCAGAAAGTGTAAACTGGTTATCCACAAGTTGTAAAGTGGTTATCCAGAAGGTGTAAACTGATTATCCACAATAATACTCCATCACAAAGTTTTCAAAATTTGAATAAATTCGGTAATTTATATATGCCGCGTTTAAAAAAAAAAAGAAAAAGAAAGCTGAATTATCTAGCAGACTAACGCTATTTTAAGAGAGCAAAATACATGCGCAGGGGGTACACAGTGCCCCCGGGTGTACCAGATAATTTGCCCTGGAAAAACCTCCAAACCAGCAAGCATAAATAAACCTGATTAGGAAAAATTAATTCAAGATTCCTAGAGAAAACACCGAAGCTAGCTATGGCGGCGAATACGCCTGACAAGTACTCCGGCTATCTACCCGGGAAACTGGTGCAAGAAATCCTAAAATGGCTTCCCGCCAAATCCCTTATGCGATTCAAGTACGTATTGAAACTCTGGCGATCAATTATCCTAAACCCGAATTTCACCTCGTTACATCAGCGCCGTGGTGGTTTAAGAGGCTTCTTATTTCTCGATTCGAAGGTTACGGGCAGGATAGCAGATTGGAATTCTCTATAACCTGAATATTCAGGCCAAACGTATTACGCATCTCAACACCGTTTCCTATTCTGACGGAAGCTGTGAATCCACCGCTCAGGTGAACGGATTGGTGTGTTTCGACAACAGTTTCGAACCAGGCGGCCGTTGCTACCTCCACAATATAGCCACCCGCGAAACCCTACCTCTTCCTTTTTCGACAAATAAGTTCGAAACAATTCGAAACGTTAGCTTATAGTTACCATCTTAGTTTTGAACCGGTTGGGAACGTTTACAAGTTGGTGATGATTTGCCGGGTCAACCCTTGTGAGGAGAACGGTTCTTGGAATTGCGAGATTCTGACTTTTGGTGGAGAACTAGATGGCTTGCGGCCGCGGCCGTTGTCCTGGAAAAGCATTGGAACTCCGCGATTTTCGTCATTTTGGTACCTAATGTCCTGTTTAATGTCGGAGAATCATGGTGTGTGTAACAATGGGTTTGTGTACTGGGATGCATATGTTTTTTCGACAAACCTTATCCCCCGAAGTACATTTTTTCACTTTGGATCTTACGGAGGAGAGGTTTTTGGTTTTCCCCACGCCGGATAATTTGAAGTTCATTCACCATTTCGTGCCTTTTGGACCTGCCTTTACTATACATGGCGGTCATTCTCGTGAGTGTAGAATCTTCTCTTACAATGGCGTGCATTGTTGTAGTAATAGTAATGGTGGCGGAGACAACAACAAAATAGAGGTCGGGGTGGTGGAAAATCCGATTGAGATGACGATTGAGTTGCCTAGGGAATTGGGTGATGGGAATTTTCGTGTATTGGGTATTCTCCCTGATGGAAAACAATTGATGCATTTCAGTGAATTTTCTGCTCCTCGTGGTGGTGATCTAGTTCGTGTACATTTATATGATCCTTGTACGAGGGAAAGAGAAGAGATCTTGATCAATCTTGTTCGTTACACGAAATCTCACATGCCATTCCTAAAGTCGGATGACTTGTTAGTATCTTGTTACGAGGAGAATCTCATCTCTCTCAAGTGTTTGATTTCGTAGTGATTTATTTATTTCTTCTCTAGCTAGATTCTACGTTGTTTAATGTTGTAGGAGAAGTTGGGTACTGTTATGTTATTTGGATCTGTAGTTTTTCAGTCTTTTAAGTTACTATGATCAATGCCAATTCTTCGAGTTTGCAACCATACTTCGGTATCTCTTGAAATTTTTTGGATGCCGTCTCACAAATTTATTTTTACTAGTGCTTAGCATCTGATGCACGATTGCCCGGCGCATTCTATCTGTAGTTTGCGGTTTTAAATTTTGTTTTTGCAGAATTTGGTTTGGATTTTGGTGGCTGATGTGTTTCCGAACAACACATATTAATTCTTGTTCAAGGTTATTGGATCAGTATACTTTGTTCCATTAGTCTTTTTTTTTTTTTTTAGCTTTTCAGGTTGATTAAGTGTAGTTAGGTTGATAATCAGCTCTTCTTCTTCTTCAAAATATAATAATAAGATGAAAAAAAAAAGTTCTTTTGTAACTTGCTTGATGAAATCTTCACTACGAGATAAAGGATTTGTCAATAATGTTAATCTTCCTCAGCATTTGCTAGTAGTGGTAATAAGAATACGATTTGTATGAATCATCAATCAACAATATCGTGATTTTTTTATAATTACCTTATCATTTAGGCCTAATCAATTGTTAAATAAAAAAACACATGGTGATATAATGTTTGAGTGTTAGCTATTATGTCTTATATTCTTTTTTTTTTTTGGGTATAGTGGAAGAGGCCAAAGCCTAATTACAAGAAATTAAAACATTTCGAGGATAAGAAACCCCGACAATGTCATGTTCTAGTCAGTGCATAATCTCCGCCGGCGGGGTTGTCAATCGGCAATAACATATATTCTTTCATCACAAATAAAACCTCTTAATGTCGACAATCTTTTTTCTACTACATATTATTGGTATAATGGTATTGTGCTCATTTCACTTGCTCAAAACATTTGTCCCCTTTTCATAGTGCACGATTGTTATAATATATTCAAACTACATAAAAATTTGTTTTACACAATGGGATAAGAAGCCTTCATTGCGACACCGCAAACGCCCTCTTTTTTATCATCAATATCCCTCACCATCCGACCAAACCCTTTTTCGCCCCAACTCAATCCCCATGAATTCTTCACAATCCAATACTTGTTACCCTCATCATCGTCGTCATAACCAATCGCAAAAATGCCGTGGTTTAGATCTGTGTCGCACGGTCCATCGAAAATGCCGCTTTTATAGTACCAAAAGTGTTTATTAGCCGCGACCGCGACAGAGATGGGTTGTCCAGCGACGGCTTTCAGGAGTGCCGACTCTTTATTGGGAGGGACTTCTTTGTAACCTTTAATGGTGGTAGTAATGTTTCCTGTCAAGGGCATATAACATGCTCCGTCTTTCTGATAACCGACATACGGGTAATTTTCGTCGCTGGTGATCATGCCTTTTCTTTCGACCAGGTATTCGAAGGCTAATGTCATTAGACCTCCGGCGCAGTCAATACTTCGGAAATCGCAGTCGACGAGCTCTTGTGCGGACAGGTTGACAAGTTTGCCGGTTTTGATCTTGTGAATGCCTTCCATGGCCCCAACCGCAGAAAATGCCCAGCAACTTCCTGCATGCACACGCAAACACACATATATATATTGAAGGAACTCAATATTTTGATGAGTATAATAGCTTAAGTGATCGCTCTCTTAGTAGCTAGATATTTTCAGTTTCGTTTCAGGGATGAAATTCTTCTTCTTCTTTTTTTTCAAAAGCAAAAAAGCAATACAATTTTCGAACAAAATTTGATATCTGGTCAAAATAATGCATCTGTCAAAAACGAGAATTGATATATTTTTTCCGATATTTAAAATGATACATATGCAGTATCTACTAACATATAAAACTCTCATCGGCGATTGTCTTCTCTCCTCTAGTTATTAACACTATTATGGATTTTATATCAAATCTTTACTTAAAAATTTCAATTGTCTAGAATAAAAACATGATGTTTTGGGACTGAAACAATACTATAGCCTAGGAAAAAAAAAACCAAAAAGTGAATGGAAAAATTTGAGAGCAAAAATAATTAGTAGGTGATTTCTAATCAAATCATATAAACATAAACTGCTTACCACATTCGCCTTGATTTTTGACTTGTGTAACAGCACCTTTCTCCCTCCAATCCATCCTTGAAGGAATGCATGACTCAACATTTTCATCATCTCCAAACGGCACCGTAGTACTCGTAGACTCGATTCTTTCCTTGGCTGCTTTTGGTTTGTATCCTCCATAGCGTGATATGAATTCCTCAAACGTCAAATCTGAAAATTCATTAAGCCCCATTACGTAGCGCTATGATTCCCTTCCTTGTTGAAAGACTCGATGAACTCTAGGTTGTCCTTGAATACCTTGAATCGGCGTGCTTGTTCCATGTCATCCTTGTACTCACGCCCGTATTTGTCCTTCCAATTGTTGAAAGTTTGAGTAATAGCAAGTTCCTTTAGGTTGCTGGATCTGGTGGCTTCGGAGGTTACGGTTGCTACCACAAGCAACAATGTTAACAAAATGTTGAGAATTGAAGCCATGTTGCATGAAAAAAGCCTTAGAAAACTCGGAAATTAAGGAGAGAAATGCACTGGAAATAACTTCAAGATAATTAATATTGTTGATAAGAGAGAATTTGATGCATTTTTGGCTAGGGCTAATGGGAGCTCTTTATTGTGTTACTTGTAATATGGTTGGGTTCTTCATGAGTTCTTTCAGATCAAAACGGGACTAAAAAAAAACAAATAAAGGTGGAGTCCAGTTGATCAACGCAACCATCAATCTCTAATCAGTTTGCATACGGGTATTAAATATGTAACAGTAATTAAAATATTTGTCTGATGAATTTTATATTCAAAAAATAAGATTCAGATTGAATCTGCATTGCTTTAGTTGAGATAGTAGATAGGAATACCAAGTTTGCGATACAGATACCAACAGAAATTCATGCCGAGACAAAGATAAAGATAATCTTGCTCCATTGCAACATCACTCCTTGGTGAGTTTTTACGTCCCGAAAAAAATCTTGTCCAGATTGAATACGCAAAATTCAGTTGCGTATTGATCCACTGAAATATCACTATCGTTTAAAATAGATATGATTAATATGAAGCCAAATTAGATGGTGTTCATTTACTGCATTTATGTGGTTAGAAATTTATTGAGGTTCTTTATAAATACTCCCTCTGTCCCATAATTATTGTCTAATTTTACTAAAATTCAATATTTTATTTTTGGTCAAACTTAATCATATTTTTATTTAATCTTTCAAATATACCCCTGCATACATGGTATAATCGGCAAAGGATTCAACTTCCATAGCTTCTCTCTCACACGACACCCAATTTCAAAAATCAAACTAATTTCAAAACACAAGAGCATCACCTTCGTTTGTCGTCATTCACGCGCCTGGAAAAAAATCAAATCAAATTCTCTAACGAAGAATTTTGAATTTAGGGAATCTTCCTCACCGATATAGATGCGCATAATTCTTCAATTGTCAGGTCATCTCATTCTCTAGGGCCAATCGAATTTGGGAAAGTTGTTACTCCGAGTTACAGATGTTCCTCCAGGCGATTCTTGCCGAAAAATATGGTTCGAATCGATAGCAGTTTTGATTCGGGATTTGATGGAACTTCTTAACTTGAATTTTATTTTGACCCGATTGAAATGTCGGATTGTAATTTTGATTCATCTAAAACTACTTATTCCAATTCTTTTAAGAAGAAACTTCACAATTCTACGGAGGTGGAAGAATTGAAGAAATAGGGTTAAAGAAATGTGTAATCGGGTGAGCGAAAGAAGCTTTTGGTTGCAAAGGTATAAGAACTGGAAGAGATGGGTGAAGGTCTGTAATCGGCGGTGGATTAAAAAGATGAGGAAACGGATTTGGAATCCATGGTGCATGACAGATGCCAAAAGGCCATGGGTTTGAAGAAAGAGGATTTGCAGATTCAGCTTTTCTTTTTCTTTTCTTTTTTTCTTCCGACGAAACGATAGAATTGGATCAAATGGGTACTTAATCCATAAAAAATTAAATCGGACAATAATTTTAGATAAAAAATTTTTTACAAACTGAACAATAATTATGAAACGGAGGGAGTACGACATTTTGTAGAGATGAAATTAACTATGAGAGGAGTCAGCTCGGAATCTCGGATAGTTTACCAATATTGGACAAACAAAAAAAAAAAAAAATTACCAAGGCGTACATCTATGAATGCGTTTTGTTTAGTGTACAAATATATGTATCAGAGCATCTTGCTTAAACAGCAATACTTGTGTACCAAAGCAAAATGCTTGCTAAATATATATGGTATTTACACCTAAAATCATAATCCTCTTTTTCGGATTCTTACTAATTTCACTCAAAATGTTCACAAAGTGCGTTCATCATCAAGACCTTAACAAATAAATATCGTATAATACGAGTGATAGTAAAAAGTGATAGTAATAAACTTATACCAGGTCTCTAAAATTTGTCACTTTCGTTGCAACTCCGGACCAAACAAATAAAATTGATTAAATAAATAAATTCGTGCCAGGTGAGCTAGGGCCCAGGGAGTATCAAAACTACATAATCAACTTCCCGAATAACATATGCATGATCACAATCCTGGTCACTAAATTAATACGCCTTTTGTCATAATCCGTAGATAAATTGAGATGATAGATACTGTAACAGAAATGAAATACAACCTTTGTTTGTGAAAAAAACATATAACGACAGAGGGTTCATCAACTTCTCTATTAACTTATGCCTTATCACTGTTGACAATGAAGATAAATTATTTATGTATTATTGCCATATTTTTGCTGTCAATAAAATGACATAATCGATCTTCTACCAAAAAAATGAAAGCATACCCTTATTTGTGCCAAAAAAAGCGAAAGAAGATGTTACGAATATATTATATAATATTAGGACTAATGTAATGAAACTATTAGTGGAGGTCTATTTTGTTAAGTTGTTT